TTATTTTGCTAAAATATAATTCATTTGCTTTGGGCTTTCTTATGTCTTTGAATAGTTTTATATTCAGCATTTTTTTTTTTAATAGTTGTTCTAGTCTTTTCTGTGTCTTTGGTTATGTCTTTCTTTTCATCCTTGTCTAATATAGGCTTGCTATCTTTTCCTTGGAGTCCTGGTATGATTCTGTTGCTTAATGTGCTGGACTGCAAGGTTTCTTTGAACCACAGTGTTAGCGGTTCGAGCTTACCAGCTGCTCTTCGCAAACTCTATACAGGGTCACTATGCGTTGGTACCAACTCGACGGCACTTAAGAACAACAACATCTTTTCACTGATAAGTTATAACTATTTTATTTTGCAATTATTTTCAAAGTACCTGCATTAAGAAATATGTATTTATCCTCCCTGTTATTTATATCAATCTAATTTGTTTCTGGAATCCTGGTGTGTGCTGCAGGATAATGCATTGGACCACAAGGTCAGTTTGAACCCCAAGGTCAGCAACTTAGAAACCCTATGCTGGGTCTCTATGAGTCAGAACCGACTTAACAGCACTTAACAACAATTAGCTCAGGACGGTGTGGTGCTGTACAATCAGCACTGGACTGCGTACCACAGGGTTGGCAGTTCAAACCTGCTGCTCCTTGGAAATGAGTATGGTGTTGCTATAAGTCAGTTCAAACTCAACAGTTCAAGATTGCTATGAGTTGAAACCAATTAGACAGTACTTACCAAATAAGCTCAGCTCTTATATTTTATTATTTTCTTTTTGCTATATTCTTTTATTTTGTTGTGTTATCATACTCTTGAACAACAAAGGCATTTCTAGTTATAAACATTTGTCTGGATACAGCTTTTGCTATGTTTGATAGGTTTTAGTGTTTTATTTTCTTACAATAATTTTTGTAGAACACTTCCGTTTTTTGGAATAAGCATTATCTAAATGTGTGTTAAATAATTTCCAGGTGATTAAGATATTTTAGTTACCTTCCAAAGTTTTATTTCTAATTCTAATGACTTTATGACAGATGAAGTGCCCTTGTAGAATCTCTACTTGAAAATTTTTGCTAAAGTATTATTTGAGACCAAATAATTAATTTAATGTTTCATGGATATTAAAAGGGTGTTTTGTATTAAAAGCAATTTAATGGGTAAGATATTTTTAATATATCTGTTAAATCCAATTTGTATTACATTACATTAGCAATCCCCCTATAACCTTACTTCCTTATTATTAACTACACTGCTTTAAAAAACAACAAAAAAAACACTTTCTTCTAATCTAAGCTTTAATTGTTTAAGTAAAATAGATTCATCTTCTACTTATAGCTGTTAGAGAACCTTCCAAACACCCCCTTTATAATTATTCTTGTTTTATAGCCTAAAAATAGAACAACAACAAAAATGATACAATAATATCAGATCAATGGTCTATGTCAGATTTTCTTATACTGTTTTCTTACTCCAAATTAGTTACCTCTTCCTCCTTCAAGCATGATCTCTTATGTTGTTAGTAAGTACCATCGAGTCTGTTCCGAATCATAGCAACTCTGCGTAGGTTTTCCAAGGAGCACCTGGTGAGTTTGAACAGTGGCCTTGAGGATCAAACAGACCTTGTGGTCAAGTGCTTAGCCTAGAGATAATTTTCATATAGACATATAAACATATGGACATAGGTGTGTATTCATTCTCTAGCTCAGATGGTTCTTGTTAAGTGACATTGAGTTGATTCTAACTTATAGAACCCTATAGGGTTTCGGAGGCTTTTAAATCTTTGCAGGAGCAGAATGCCTCACCATTCTCTCGGAGTGGCTCGTGAGTTCAAACTGCTGACCTTGTGGTTCAAAGTCCAGTGCTTATCCTATATCCCCTTTAAAAAGAACTGTATCTTTTTCCATATATATATAAAACATTAAAAATACATTAAAACAGAATTTAGTAACAATTTTCATAATTGACAATCATATCTTTCTTATTGGCAATAATAATATATTTGAAAAAACTTAATAATAATCACAAAATAAAACTCTTATTAGATACATTCATATTCAACTACAATTTTAAACTCCCATATTAAAAGACTTATGAAACTAAAGTTTCTTCCACTGTCAACAATCTGTTAAGATTCAATACTTCTTTTTGATACTTGGATACTTTTCTTAAAGACTTGTCATGAATTCTTACTAGTTCTAACTTTTATTGACCTACAAAGTCACAATAATTTGAGTACTGAGAAGTTAGTTAGGTTCTTGAGACAACTTCTATTTAATATATGGTGAAAATAATACAAACTGATTGTAATGAAATATGACAACCATATTTGACTAATCTACAAAGAAGAATATGTCATTGTAATAGTAATGGGACAAGCCACCCAATTAATTAGACAGATTTGACAGATTGCTTTGTAAGTTTTCCAAGGCAGAAAAGCAATTCTGAGGCTTTGCTTCAAAGGCAAAGCAGATCAAACTTCCTTAATCCTTGTGGGTAGAGAAATGTTGGGTTTTGATTCTTAGATGTTATACACCAGAATTTAGCCCACAAAAGAAGCAGAATTTCAGGATAAAGAAGCCAACAGTTTTATGTTAAAATTATCAGTCTAGTAACCTATGATAATCATGATTTTTAAGGAAGGTTTTTTGATGATTCTTTCACCTTTTAATAAGGGAAATATTTTAATCCTACAATCTACAAATATGTTCATTTATAACTCATTTGATCCTTACAACAATCCCCATGGTCTTTCTCTCCTTGGTTTTACAGTGCAGAAACTCAATCCAGAAATATCAAACAATATACTCCTGCTAGAGTTGTTGTTGTTGTAGTTAAGTGCTGTCAACTCAATTCTGACTGTAGTGACCCTGTATAGGATTTCTGAGGAGGAGCTAGTGGGTTTGAATCACCAGCCTTGTGGCTAGTCCAATAGTGCCTCACTAGGACTCAGAGATGTGGGGGTGGTTATGTACCATGGAGTTGGTTCTGACTTTTAGAAACTCATAGGGTTTCTAAGGCTGTAAATCTTTACTGAGCAGAAAGCCTCATCTTTCTTCCATGGAACTGCTGGTAGTTTTGAATTGCTGACCTTAAGACTAGCAGCCCAATTCATAACCACTATGCTACCAGAGCTCCTCAGAGATAGCCACCTCCAATTGTAAGTTACTTTCCCCCTGCACATCACTGTCTGCGTAGCACTAGTATACACCACTGTGCTCCACACACAAAAAAATGCCTTGCCTGCCATACTTGCCTTTTCATGTTTTGTAATAGAAACAAGAAACAAGTTAGTAATGGTAAAAGTTTTAACCATTGCTTATGTTAATGTATTTCTTTTAATGGCAGACTTTTAATAGAGCCCATGGATTCTGAATTTAAAAATCAGTTGAAGTATTAGATATAGTAAGCAGATGCTTCTTCATTACTGTAGGGGAGGCTGTTGAAGAGCCTGAGTATTATCTTCTTGTATAACACTATGGTGGACACGTTTACAATTGTGGAGGGAAACTGACATTTCTTGTTCTACCTGAAATAAGAAAATAAAATGTCCTATTTGGCTTGAGGTAACATGAAGTACTCTGATGCCAAATTAAATGTCCCACAGTGCTTCTTGGTTCCTGCTACAGCATCTTTCAACCATAATTCCTTATAATGTTCTTAACAACAAATACATAGAGAAAACATAACAAAATAATGTATTATAGCAAAATCCGCCCCCCAAAGCCTATTACATTAATGTGGCTTACTACCTCTGTTATGTAAAATAATTTATCAAAATCGTGAATTCCAACTGAGAAAGGAAGATGAATTGATTTTGCTAGTATCTATAAGAAGAGTAATGATGTCAGTAGAAAAGTGCCTCTCTTCATCATCAAAGAAAGCTAGTCGAGGAAAAATGTTGGGGAGTAGCATATACATTAATCTTCAGCTGGATCACAGGACTGTTGGGAAGTATAACTAATCAAATCATTGTGAATCAACTTGATATGTAATAACATGTTCCACAGTGACATAAGTGAATGTATAAGATTGATGTTGCATAAAAAGGAAAATATACAGTTCGCCTAAAGTATTTGCAAGCCCATGCCTAACATAGTGACAAGTTGCAATGAATGGAACTACTGTTTTTTCTACAATAGCATGTTTGCCATAATCTGCCATCGCCATGTTTCTCAAATTGTCTAAAGCAGTCATGGGCCATTTCAGGCAAACAACTTAGTTGCTAAAATAACTTAGTTCTCTAAAACGACTTCCGTCAAGAAGAACCGCAATTATCCACTCAAGTCACTTTGATGCCTTGTCTAGATGCCAGGAAAATAGAATCTGCATATTTGTAAAATATTTTAGTAGCACTGTAATTCAAATTCCTCACAAACATTTGGGAATTTCTAGAATGACTTTTCCCAAGAACATTTGATAAGTAGAATAGGAGGTTCATGGTGATTTTCCCCTGTACATCCGACACACGTATGCCCATGAATTCTGATTTGTCAATGATTAACTATTAGATACTTGACAGAACAGAAAAAATGGTTAAAACTTCATGTAAAATAGTGAAAAAGACAAATAAGATGCATTTTTTAAAGAAAAGTATTGAATGTACATAACATATTCTTGGGAGAGAAAATGTGTTGCCATTGAAAGCCAAATTTGACTCAGAATTTCCTGACAGCAAAACAATTAGGGGAAATAACAAGCTATGTCCTCATTGTCTCATTTTACTGGAAAACAAATTACATACTTTGTTTCTGGTGAAGTAAGTATTTTCTGTAAGTAAATACTAGAATGTTAAGAAATAACCAGATCTTAATTGAAACATTTTCAGAAAAGAAACTGTTATCTAGAGAAATATAATTTGGCAAAAGAAAGGCTGTCTTGTGTAGCAATTAGTATATCTAACTGTGAAAAAACTAGAGAAAACATTCATGAGTTTAACTGTGCTGTGCTGGTTTTCCTCTCCTCAGGGGATATGTCATGCTTTTAATCTGTATCTTTAATTGAATTTTTCAGAATGACAAGTCCCCAGGGCGATCTGCAAGTCGATCAAGTAACATTTCAAAAGTAGGTAACATCTATTCGTTTTTTATTTTTTAAATTGAATTCTATACTTTATGAGTTCAAGTAAATATACTGTAATGTTTAACCTCTAGTTGTTTTCTGTGAACAATACACAAATGCAACTTGTTAATGGCTTTTAACTATTTCAAGCTTTTGTTGTGATAAAAAGGTATGATTTTACACAAGAAAATGGGTAAGCTATTATTTTTCATCTTTAGTGCTGTTCCTAGAAGATAATTTGCTGCTTTTAGTGAAAAAAGCAGGTTGGAAGTCCCTCAGGTTGGAAGGCACTCAAATCTCATTTCAAATATCATATAATGTGTTTTTATCTCATGTCAAACATCACAGAGCAAGCAGATATACAAGTTGCAACTTGTATTCATGGTACAATTTCAGTTAATTCAAGTTTTCAGGAGTATGAACCCAATTCTGCTAGAATTTAACTCTTCTTGTAACTAGGACAGATTTTTAAAAGTCGATTTAACGAAGACATCAGTTTAGTAGCACTTAGGTTATAGAGTGGGTGGATGACAAATTTTAAAACCTCCCAAACTCAAAACAAGTCACTAGAGCTACAAAAAGATCTTGATTTGGGAGTGAAACTCTATTTTTCTTTTTAACCTAGAAAACACAAATTGCTTCATTACAAAAATTAAGAGCTATTATAAAAACAAGGCACTATTTGATGTATAGTCATGGGCTTTGGAGAGCAAAAAGTCATTTATAGTCATTTATCAAAATGGAAAATTATTACTTTCAAAAATATAATTATGACCAAGATGGATTTACCATGAATGGAATTTTGATTTCAACACCTCTCACTTGCTGGGACCATTCCAAGGCCCTGGACATAATTTTGCATTAAGTAATTTTATGTTCTTTTCCTGTAAGGGTGTCCCGAAAACAGTAATAAAAAATTAGTCACTGCAGAAGTGGATCTGCTTCCAATTAAGTGAAAACTTTATATTATTTTGCTTTGTTTTCAGAAAAGGACTTTAATAATGATATCAAAAAAGCAGTAGCCAGGGTATCAGCATTTTCTTACGATTGTTTCCTGAACCAGTTCCTATGAGACGATGTTAATAGAATGAGTTGACACTTTCACACACGTTGAGTCGGGCTACAGGAGAGAAATCCTGAATTTAAGGAACCCCATATTCTTTTTTTGTTTGTTTTTAATAGATAGTAAGCATGTATAGAATTACTTCAGAGAGACACCATGTTTCTGTCTTCAGAGCCTGCCCATTATACAGACTTCCTGGAAATGACTTGCATAGACAAGAGAGACCCACAAAATATTGTATCTCAGTACTCAGTACTGAGCATTTCTAAATATATTCCAACCCAGGTAGCTTCATGGATGCTTGAGAGGCAATGTGGCCTACTACTTAACAGTATTAACACTAGAGAGAGTGGATCTGAATTTTAGTCGCTACTATGTCTCCTTATACTGCAGTGACCATGAGATATTCTTTGGATCCTCCTGACATACAGGTGCCTTCTCTGTGACATGGCAATAATGATAATATCAGCCACGTTAAGGAGATTTTTCTAAGTAATTGAAAATCAAAGCAATGTTTTTCAAATGTCTGTCATCCTAGTCACATCACAAAGAGTCATACTTACAGCCAGAGAATGATGTCATCTGTCTGAACTTGAAAGTTGTTGTTAGGGGCCACCAAGTTAGTTCTGACTCATAATACCCCCCACACATCACAGAAGGAAACATAGCAGAGTTCTGCACCATCCTGAATTTATGTTATGTTTGAGTTTATTACTGCTGTCATTGCATCAATCCATCTTGTTGGAGGTCTTCCTTTTTTAGATGACCCTCCACTTTTCTAATCATGATGTCTTTCTCCGAGGACTTGTTGTTGTTCTTGTCATTAGGTGCCATCAACTCAGTACCAACTCATAGTAACTTTATGCACAACACAACGAAACACTGCCCGGTCCTAGGCTAACCTCACAGTTGTTGCCACGCTTAAGCTCACCGATGCTGCCACTTTGCCAATCCATCTCACTGGGGGTCTTCTTCTTTGTCTCTGACTTTCCACCTTACAAAACATGATATCCCTCTCCAGTGACTAATCCCTCCTGACAATATGGCTGAAATATGAGAGACAAAAATCTGTCCATCCTGGTCTCCAAGGAGCACTCTGGCTGTACATCTTCCAACACAGATCTGTTTGTTCTTTTGACAACCCATGGTATTTTCAATATTCTCCAACATTGTAAGTCAAATGCATCAACTCTTCTATGGTCTTACTTATTCACTCTCCAACTTTTGCATGCATATGAGGTTATTGAAAATACTACGGCATGATCAGGTGTACCTTAGTCTTCATGCTGACATTTTTGCTCTTCAACACTTTAAAAAGGCCTTCTGCAGCAGATTTGCCTAATGCAATACGTTGTTTGATTTCTTGACTGCTGCTTCGATGAGTGTTGCTGGTTGATCCAAGAAAAATTAAGTCCTTGACAACTTCAATCTTTTCTCCATTGATAAGAATGTTGTTTATTGGTCCAGTGGTGAAGATTTTTGTTTTCTTTACATTGAGATGCAATCCATATCAAAGGCTATGGTCTTTGATCTTCATCAGTAAGTATTTTAAGTCCTCTTCAATTTCAACAAGCAAGATTGTATCATCTGCATATTGCAGGTTGTTAATGAGTCTTCCTCAAATCCTGATGCCACATTTTTCTTCATAGAACCCAACTTCACAGATTATTTGCTCAGCATACAGGTTGAATAAGTACAGTGAAAGAATACAAGCCTGCTGCACACCTTTCCTAATTTTAAACAATTCAGTGTTCCCATGTTCTGTTCAAACAGCTACCTCTTGGCCTTTGTACAGGTTCCTCATGAGCACAATTAAGTGTTCAGGAATACTCATCCTTCGCAATGCTGTCCATAGTTTCTCATGATCCACACAATTGAGGGCATTTATGTAGTCAATAAAGCACAGATAAACATCTCTCTGATATTGTCTGCTTTCAGCCAAGCTCCATTGGACATCAGCAATGATATCCCTCATTCCAAGCCTTCTTCTGAATCCCACTTGAACCTTTGGAAATTCTGTCAATGTATGGTTGCAGCTGTTTCTGTATTACCTTTAGTAAAATGTTACTGAGATATTGTCCAACGATTTCCACATTCCATTGGGTAACCTCTTCTAATCAGTTGTCAGATCGTTGTCTTCCAAATTTCTTAGTATAGATGAGTGAGTGCCTCCAAAGCCACCTCACTTTGTTGAAAGATTTCAATTTGTATTCTATCAATTCCAGGTAACTTGTTCTTTGCCAGTTCCTTCAATGCACCTTGGACTCCTTCCTTCAGGATCATAGGCTCTTGGTCATATGCTACCTCTTGAAATGGTTGAACATCAACCATTTTCTTTTGATACAGTTACTCTGTGTATTCCTTCCATTTTTTTCTTTTTTTTAATGATATCTGTATCATTCAATAATTTGTCCAGAGAATCCTTCAATAACAAAAGTCAAGGCTTGAATTTTTTTCCAGTTCCCTCAGCTTGAGAAATGCTGAGTGTGTTCTTCCTTTTAAGTTTTCTGACTCCAGACCTTTGCACATTTCGTTGTAATATTTGACTTTGATTTTTAGAGCTGACCTTTGAAATGTTCTGTTCAGCTCATGAACCTAGCATCTCTACGCTGGAGAGCTTGTTTTAGAGTCTCTTCTGACATCCGTTTTGGTCTTTTCCTTCTTTCTTGTCTTCTTCATGACTTTTTGCTTTCTTTCTACATGATGTTCTTGATGTTATCCCATAACTCTTCTGGTCTTCAGTCTTTAGTGTCTAATGTATCAAATCTGTTCTTCAGATGATCTCTAAATTCATGTGGGATATATTCAAGGTCATGTTTGGCCCACATGGACTTGTTTTCATTTTCTTCAGCTTCAGTCTGAATTTGCATATGAGTAATTGATGGTCTGTTCCACAGTCTGCCTCTGGCCTTGTTTTGGCTGATTATATTGAGCCTTTCCACCATCTCTTTCCACAGATGTAGTCAATTTGATTTCTGTGTGTTGCATCTGGTGAGGTCCATGTGTATAACTGTCTCTTAGGCTGCTTAAAGAAGGTATTTGAAATGAACTATTGGTTTTGCAGAATTCTATCCTTCAATCTCCAGCATCATTTCTATCACCAAAGCCATATTTTCCAACTACTGATCCTTCTTCTTTGTTTCCAACCTTTGCATTCCAATCTCCAGTGATTATCAATATATCTTGATTGCATGTTTGATCAATTTAAGATGGAAGAAATTGGTAGAATTCTTCTATTTCATCCTCATTGGCTTTAGTGGTTGGTGCATAAATTTGAATAACAGTGGTATTAACTGGTCTTCCTTGCATGAATATTATCTTATCACAGACAGCATTTACCTCATGACAGACCTTGATATGTTCTCTTTGACAATGAATGTAACACCATTCCTCTTCAATTTGTCATTCCCAGCATCATAAACCATGTGGTTGTCAGATTCAAAATGACCAATACCAGTCCATTTAAGCTCATTAATGCCTAAGATATCAATGTTTATGCATTCCATTTCATTTTTGACAACTTCCAATTTTCCTAGAGTCATACTTTGTACATTCTATGTTCTGATTATTAATGGATGTTTACAGCTGTTTCTCTTCATTTTGATTTGTGAACCATCAGCAAATGAAGGTCTGGAGGACTTTACTCCCAAGGGATTTACTACATTCATGTCATCACGGTCAACTCTACTTCGAGGAGGCAGCTCTTCCCCAGTCGCATTTTGAGTGCCTTCTAAACTGAGGGGTTCATTTTCCGGCATTCTGTCTGACAGTGTTTCTCTGCTATTAATAACGTTTTCAGTGACTAAATATTTGGATGTATTTCCTCTCCTTCCTAGTCTGTCTTTGTCTGGAAGCTCATCTGAAACCTGTCCACCATAGGTGACTCTGCTGGTATTTAAAATACCGGTGGCATAGCTTCTAGAATTACAGAAACTCACAA